CGTGGCTCTCCCACCCCGCAGCTAGCGAAACCTGGCAGGTATCGGTGCACGGCCGCCCATTAACAGGGCCGGGAAGCTGGGTTAGCTCACCACCCGCTCATCACTGCTGTAGCCAGCTGAGCCAGGCCGGAGCCGGGCAGCCCTGCGCTGTCCCGACTGGCACGTCCTCCCCCGCTTCTTCGCCCTCTCCCTTCCTCTCTGCTCCTTCCCTCCCTCCCTGTCTCCTGCCTGCCTCTCTTTTCCTTGAGATAGGCTCTCCCTACAGGGTCCAGTGTCAACCCTGCCCCCTCGGGCCGAAGCAGCCGGAACTCCAGGCAAGCAGCACCTACCCCTGGTTAGTCAGAGAACCTAACCTTTGAAATGGGACCAAGAACTTGGTTTGCCAAACAGCTCTTGACTAAACACCATGGAACAAAATAATAATAATAATTAAAAATAATAATAATACAGAGCCAGGCAAGCCACAGTCCCTGTCTCAGGAAGCCCATGCTTAGCAGACAGAAACACATAGCAAACAGCACAGCTCAGAAGCAGGTGCGAGCCATGAAGCCAGGAGCCCTTGCTCCTTACCTGGTCCACCCCAGGGACTGCAGAACTGTATTGTTTCTTCAGTCTCTGCTCCTTCAGTGGTCTGAGAATCGCACCCTTGCCAGAGCATGAGGCAAATCAGAGTCAGGGCCATTACCCACAACTGGGATTTAAACAAAAACGTATTTTTTTTAATAATATGTTTTATTTTATGTGCATTGGTCCGAATTCATGTTATGTGAGGCTGTCATATGCCCTGGGACTAGAAATATAGACACTTTTGGGCTGCCATATGGTGCTGGGAACTGAACCCAGCTTTTCTGGAAGAGCAGCCAGTGCTCTTAACCACTGAGCCATCTCTACAGCCCCCGGCACACACACACACACACACACACACACACACACACACACACACACACAAAACATACTTTTGTAATATTTCTGTTTTTTTTAAAGTGGAATAAATACATTTTATTTTTTTAGATTTATTTATTATTTACTCAGTGTTCTGCCTGCATGTGTGCCTCAGGACAGCAGAGGGCATCAGATTTTACTACAGATGGTTGTGAGCCACCATGTGGTTGCCGGGAATTGAACTCAGGACCTTTGGAAGAGCAGACAGTGCTCTTAACTTCTGAGCCATCTCTCCAGCTCACATTTCTGTGTTTTTAAAGAAACCAAAATTCTCACTACAGGGGAAAAGAGGCTATGGGCAGCAAGGGGCAGCAAGGGGAGCCGAAGGGCAGGGAGGGGTGAAGGAGACCTTGAGCCTGGCACCAGGGCCTTCCCTGACACGCCCAGTCTGTCTCTTGTCCAGGCAACAGAGCCTCCCCAACCACCATTTCATCCCCTCTCTTGCCATCTGTTACTGACTTCAGCTACTCATAAGATAGAGATTATGAGGCTAGAGAGATGACTCAGCAGTTGGGAGGTGCTGGGTTCGATTCCCAGCACCTACATGGTCCTCTCTAACATCAGTTCCAGGAATCTCACGAGTTTTCATTCTTACCCCTGGGCACCAGGCATGCACAGGGTCCGTACACACACATGCAGAGAAGCTATTCATACATCCGTACACATAAAAATAAATAAATCTTAAACAATGCACACATGCATTAAGGGTGCCGGGACAGCTTGGGCTGGGCTTGGGCTGAGGCGCTCACAAGCGGCCAGAGACCAGCACACGTAGCTTCAGAGTGGTTAGTACAGTGTCAGCCGGAGTCCCAGCCCGTCACTGCCTCCTGCAGGACCTCCGTGAGTCGCTGTCCAGGATGGTGTCTCCTGGACCCGCCAGGACAGTGACCAGCATCAGGTGAGGGCACAGGGCACAAAGCATGGGCAGCTTCTTCGAGCGCCCGGGGCTCTGGGTTGTGCTTTCGGGACCCTCCGACTCCAGCCTGCCCTTGCTCAGGTCCTGCCTGACCATTCCCACCCACCTCAGTGTGACTCCCCCAAATTCAAGTGTTGCCCACAGGGCATGGCTTACATGGCTATTTCCTTGTAGGCAGGCTTGCTCATGATTATTTACTTAACCTGAAATGCAAATCCTGCCTCTCCTGCCTTCAAGTTCCTGCCCATGGAATCATGTTTTTAAGCTTTGCTTTTCAAGACAGCGTTTCTCTGTATAGCCTGGGCTGCCCTGGAACTCTCTCTTTGAAGACCAGGCTGGCCTCGAACTCAGAGAGCCACCTACCTCTGCCTCTGCTGGGATCAAAGGCGTGTGCCACCACTGCCCAGCTCGGCCTGCTTTCTTACTCAACCCGGAACTACCCGGCCAGCTGTGGCAAAGCCCAGAGTGGACTGGGCCCTCCCACATCAGTCATTAATCAAGAACATGCCTACAGCCGGATCTCTTGGAGGCATTTTCTCAGTCGGGGTTCCCTCCTTTCAGACAACTCTAGCTTGTGTCAAGCTGACATAAAACTAGCCAGCACACAGACGGATCTGTGGAGGGCAGACTCATCCACATGGTGAGACTCTATCTCAAAAGGGAAAATTCAAAACAAAACAAAAAAAAAACGAGCCAGGCGTAGTGACCCATGCCTCCTTTAATCCAGCACTTGGGGCAGAGGCAGGCAGATCCCTGTGAGTTCAAGACCAGCCTGGTCTATGTGGCAACTTCCAGGAGTGCCAGGGCTGCCTAACAGAGAGACTCTGTTTCTAAAAACAAAACAGCAACAAAGTCACACACCCTTTCACAGATAGGACATAAAGCTCCCGAGACACTCATCTCCATCTGTACAGAAGTAGGTGTGCAGGCCTTTTATTTCCCTATGCAGGAGTGTTTTGCATACATGCTTGTATTCGCCACATGCATGCCATGCCATGAGGACAGAGAGGGTGTGGATCCCTTGGACCTAGAATTACAGGCAGCTGTGGGCACCACGTGGGAGCTGGGAAAGACCTGACCCTCTGCAAGAGCAGCCAGCGCTCTCACGGCTGAGCTTTCCAGCCCCGTGTGCAAACCTTTCAGCCAGTGCGAAATCACCTCCTTTCTTTCTATTCCCAGACCCTAGAATGCTACCCTCGTGAAGAGGGTCTGTCATTGCATCTCTTTATATATCATAAATTACAGGCCATATACATATATTACACATAATATATAAGCTTATAGTCTTCTATTATAAATAAAAATAATATTTATTTTATATATTTGTAGGCAATATATTATATATAAAAATATGTATCTGTTTTTTCTCATACATCTGAGCCACAGTCTCCCCTCCCTCCACTCCTCCCAGTCCCCCACCCCCACCCCATCTCCCCCAGATCCTCCTCTGCTTCTCTGCAGAGAACAGCCCTCCCAGGGGATATGAGCCAAATATGGTATAACAAGCTACAATAAGACCAGGTACAAACACCCATAGCAAGGCTGGGCAAAGCAACCCAGTAGGAGGAAAAGGGTCCCAAGAGCAGGCAAAAGAGTCCAGGACAACCCCCATCCCACAAGATCCCCAAGCTGCAGGCCTTTAATCCCAGCACTCGGGAGGCAGAGGCAGGCGGATCTTCATGAGTTTGAGTTCAGCCTGGCCTACAAAGCGAGTCCAGGACAGCCAAGGCTGCACAAAGAAAGCCTGTCTTGAAAAGCAAACGAAGAAGGAATACCAAGCTAACAGCCATAACATGCGTACAAAGGACCTGTGCAGGCCCATGCAGGCTCTGTTGTTGCTGCTTCAGTCTCCGTGAGCCCTGCTGAGTTGGTTCTGTGGGCTGTGCTCTCCTGGAGCCCTCCTCCCTTCTTCAGGGTTCCCTGAGCACGGAGGGGAGGGATCCCTGGACAGCGCCAGGCCGGGCTCTCTCTCTGCCCATGTTCGGCTGTGGGTCTCTATCCGTTCCCTTCAGCTTTGGGAGCAGCCTATCTGAGGGATATTTGTCCAGGCTCCAGGCTGCTTTCGCTGCACTTCCTTCTTGTGTTTCTGTTACTGTATCTCTCTGAGGGTCTTGTGGATCTGGGACTGTCTCCACACTTGGAGTGAGGCTGAGGGCTGAACTGAGGGCTGTGAACAGGTTGGGCCAGCAGTCCAGCAGTTGAGCCCTTCCCCTTTCTGTTGGTTGAGCCAGGGTTTTGGTATCCCAGATGGCATCTAACTTGATTTGTTGTTACAGATGAACTTGAACGGCTGGACTGTCTGCCTCCACTTCCGGAGTGCCAGGATTACAAATGTGCTAGCTCATAAGATTTGTATAAATAAAACACAACTGTTAAACATACTGATTAAACACACACACACACTACAAACTTCCACTGAAAATGCATTAAGAGGCTGGGAAGAGTTCGGCACGGTGGCACACGCCTGTGATCCCAGCACTAGGGAGGCAGGTGGTCTCTGTGAGTTTGAGGCCAGACTGGAGCTCTACAGAGCGAGTTCCAGAACAGCCAGGGCTACACAGAGAAACCCTGTCTCCAACACAAAACAAACTACCCACACTCCCTAAGGCTTGCGTGCACTGCCGGGGCAGACAAGCCACAGCCAGTAGAGAGCTGCTAGCTTTCTCCTTCCCAGGGATTCCAGACAAACGGGAACGGGGAATCTTCGTACCCAGCCATCCTCGCCGCACCTGAGCAAGACAGGAGCGTACATCCCGCCTCGATCTCTGCAGGCTAAGGGCTGAGAGGCAAGGACCCAAATACTTAAAAACCCAAGCAGCGGCAAAGAAGCAACCCAGACTGGGGGTAAGGAACCGTGGCTTTTATTTTCCAGCGGAAGCACCGTCCTGGTCAGCTGTCAGTTCCCAGCTGATGCCACCAGATGGCAGCAGGGAGTACAGAGCGCTCCAACCTGGGAAGAGGATGCAGCCCGCGGGACGCCTGCCTTCTGGGGGCCAGGGAAAGCAGAGGGGCAACGTGAGGGCTGCACACGGACCTCGAGGTGGACGGGGAGTGCAGAACACACACACCCGAGCACGGTGCACAACCAGAGCCTGAGCAAGGAAGCTAGGAAATCGGGAAAACCTGAGTTTCTAAGGGTCCGCACAGGAGAGAGTGGGCTTGGGTGCGCTCCGTGGAGTTCCCTGGGGCTCCTCCCTATCGGTACTCTTCCTGGGGTGGGTCAAGGTCTGGTTCCTCCTGAGATCCGTGGCCCATCTCAGGGGCGGGTGGCCAGGGGTTTTCTGGGGGCTGCGTTCCTGCTGGCCAGGGGTCATCAGGCAGAGGAGGGTGAGGGGGATCAGTGCTAGGGGGCTCTGGGGGCCAGGCACCAGCATCAGGCAGATCTCTCCAGGGGCGGTTGGAGCCTGGAGGTGGAGGCTCATCAAACACGGGAGGTACCCCTGGCCAGGGGTCACCGGGGATTGGGGGGCCCAGAGGCAATGGCGGAGAATCCTCCTCTTCTTGGGTGTCTGTGGGCCTGGGAGAGGGGTCTCCACTGCCCGAGATGCCTGGAGAGGGGAAAAGAGAAAGGGAAAAGACGAAGTCACATACCCAAAGGCTGAGCCTCACGTTGGGGAACCGGCCCAGCCTGAGCTGGCTCCAAGACAGACCTCTGAGTGACTCCAGCGCGCTCTCCGGACGTTCCCAACATGGAAGCCGTCCTCCCGAGATACGGAAGCCCTGCGCTAACCGGGACCACTCACATGACGAAGCCTCCTATGACCCTGTCCAACCTCGGCTGGGATACCCCACTGAACTGCCAAAGTGTCCCCGAGTCACTCAGGCCGCATCTCTGATAACCAGTCCTCAGCAGGCACCCGGTTCCACACGCCCAGGCTCCTACCACACCCACCCAGCACCATATTCAGAATCGAGCCCCCCCCCCATTCCCTTAGGCAGGCTCTCACTAAGGATACCCCAGAATCCCTTCCCTGCGGGTGAGCCACCCCAGCCGTGCTCCCGGCCTCGTCCGACTCACCTCCGGCACACAGGCAAAGGACCAGGAGCCCCAGCAGCTTCCAGGCAGGCATCGTGGCTGTCTACTGGCCCCGAGGCGGGGTGCTCTCTCTCACGCTAGGTGCTTGGAACCCAAGAGGCTTTATAGCAGAGGAGGCGGCCAGCTGGTGGAGAGGGGCTGGCTCACTGACGTGAGGAGTCCCCATCTGGGCCTGACTGGTCAAACCCGTTTATTAAAAGCCTGCCGGCAGCATCTTTTCAGTCCCCCAGCCCTGGTCCCAGCAGCCAGGTCTCCCTATCAGTGGCTTGGACCCCAGGAGGCCCCTCCCTGTGCTCACGCCTCCCTTTCCCAATCAGGACCCACCTGTCATCTTCATAATCACGGGTAAGGCCACCTTTCATCCTCGCTCGTAGTTACTGGAAGCCAGGACAGCCCGCGTGGGGAAGCTTCGTAATTACAGACGAAAGCAGGACGCCTGGGTCAGCTAGCACCCCCTAGACTAGCATCTCAGCCCCAGGGCCCCTCCCCCACCCCCTGGACCACGCAAGCTGCTCTTTGGCCTCAGGGACCTCCCAGGGAGTGACATCTAAGGAATTCCATGGAGAGCCACCCGGGTGATGAGAAGCCAGTATATCCTGGTTCCTGACCCCATGCGGAGACAATTGCATCAACCCCAAAGGATCAGGAAGATGCTCCTGACGTGAGCTGGCTCCCTGCCTTCCTCAGGATGGCCCTGCCACACCCCCGAGAGATTCCCTAAGGTGGTCTAAGTATCTGAACTTTTCGGCCCTGTTTTCCAGAAACCTTGTTCCCCGCCTGGTCTACTTGGGGCGCGGCTGAGCTTCGAGCCCTGTTCCCAGAGCGTCGTCCACCTGAGCCACATCTTCTTGATCCTGGATCATCTCACCCACAAGGTTTTAACCCCCTGCTGCTACTCCTCCCTCCTCCCATCCAGAGATTTTTATTTTCCTATGTGAACAGGTATTTTGCCTGCGTGTGTGTCTGTATACGACACACAGCAATGCATGGGGAGGTCAGAACTGGTGCTAGGGAACTGCGAGCTGCCGGGTCCTCCAGAAGGGCAGCCCTCCAGCCCTCCGCCCAGCCCAGCATCCCCAGCCCTGACTGAGCCTGCTGCCCCTCCTGAGGCTGCCTGTCGCTTGGCCCTGGGCTTGGATGGCATCTTTGGAGACTCCTGGAATGTTGAGTGTTTAGTATCTTGTTCTATGCATTCATCATCACCCAGCGAAAATAATTTTAAAATAAAGGTGACGATAAAAAAAAAAACAAAAACAAAAACAAAAAAAAAAAAAAACACTTGGTCTGGGGTGGTGGTGCCATGTGCCTTTAATCCCAGCACTGGGGGGGAAAGAGGGGCTCAAGGCCAGCCTGGTCTAAGAGTTCTGGTACATCCAGGGCTACAGAGAAACCCTGTCAAAAGAAGGAAGAAAATTTGGGAGGCAGAGGCAGATGGATCTGTGGTTCAAGGCCAGCCTGGTCCGAACTTCCAGAGCAGTTAAGAAAGGAACCCTCTTTCTTAGGGTTCATAGCCTCAGCCCCAGGAGCCGGCGTCAGGGAGAACCCCGGTCTCCCAAACTCTCCAAGCAATGTCTCCACGATAGCCGACTTTATTTATTTCGGAATTCGGACTTGGTGGCAGCTGGGGTCCCAAGGCATGCTGGGGAACAGGCAGAGGTTGTCCCCGCCCATGTCCTCCCTCTCCAACCCTCCTGGGGAGTCCAGCTCCGGGCTGGCTTCACTCCTGCTCCTGACAGCTCCGGCTCAGCAGCAGTGGTCAGAAGGAGACATGCTCTGGGCGCTGTGATTATCTTCCGGACAAATAGAGTCCTCTCTGGAAATGGCCTCGCTCAGGCCTTGCAGGTTTTTGAAAAGGGTTCTCAGGGAACCGGACACGCAAGACACTGCAGGATGGAGATCAGGCTGAGAGCGGGCTGCGCGCAGCCCAGGCACGGGGCTGCCCTGCCCGAGCCCCGAGGGCCCCTGGGCTGCCATTTGTCCCTCAGCATATCTACCTGTCCTGGACTCCCTGGACCCTGAAGCTGCAGGAGACTCCTTCTCTGGGGGCTCCGCAGGCGGGGGGCAGGGGCCGGTGGGCTTCTTCTGCAGCACCGGAAGCACGGCCAGGAGGCGCTGCTGCTTGTAAAGAGAGGCCCTCCTGCTTCAGGGAGGCCGGGAGGGAGCGGGCGAGCCGCGCCGGGCCAAGCCGGCCACCCGCCTCTCCACAGCGCCAGCTCCTGCCTCTCCACCCCTCTCCTCAGCGCCAGCTCCCGGGCCCTGCTCCCCGCCACCCCTACCAGCATGAGGTTCTTGTCCCTCTCCAGCTCCTGCACCCGCCGGGCCAGCCGCTGCCCCTCTTCCTTCCGGGCCTCATCCTGCAGGCGCCTGAGCTCCTGGTTGCGCTCCTTTTCCCGAGTGGCTTTGTGCTGGATCTGGCGCAAGGAAACCACTAAGGAGATGGGAGTGGGTCAGCCCAGAGCCCAACAATCGACGCTCACTTCCCAGCGCTGGCTCTCAGGGTCTCTTCCGCGGTGGCTGATGGCATGGGAGGGGGTCCTCTGTGAGCCTGCCCCACCCCCACCCCCACCCCCGACATCAGCTCCGTGGACGAGACCCGTGGACGGACGGCGCAGGAGACAGGACAACTCTCCGCCTGTGGGGCGTGCTTAGAGCGCCACGCCTGCAACTGTCTATCGTGTAACCACGGGCGCAGAGGCAGGAGAGGGGGTGCGGACAGTTCTCACTGAGGGTCGACACAGCAGCATCCTACGACCCTAGCTCACCCGAGGGTTAAGTTTCTGGTGAGGGCGGCTGCCGACACCAGTGACAGGCCCAGGAGCCACAGTTGTCACAAGCTGTTTCTAGATCTGGCCAGGCTGAGGTGTGTTCACTAAGCGAGATCACTTAGGTACCCACCCTCCATTACTTCACTGCGCATGCGTGCCAGGGCCGAAGGGGCGGGCAGCTCACCGGCCTTGGCCTGCTCCCTCCGCGCCTCGTTCAGCCTCCTCTTTGCGTCCGTGAGCTGTTCCCGCAGCCGGGACTCCACCTCCGCCACCTTCTCTTGCAGAGCTGCGGAGAAGGGCGAGGCGGTCAGGGGGCTGCCCGGCCGGCCGGCAGGGGGCACGCCTGCCCTGCCCCCACACCTTGCCCGTAGATCTCCTGCTGCCGGGTCAGCTCCTGCCGCAGGCAGGCGGCCTCCTCTGTGCTCTCCTGCTGGCCCTGCCGGGCGGCCTGCAGCTGCTGCCCCACACTGAGCAGGGAATCCTGGGCGCACCGCAGCTCCTGCTCCAGCTGCTGGGCCACCTCATTCAGCTGCCGGCGCTCGGCCTCCCCTGAAAGCGTGCTACTGTCTCACCTCTCCTGGCACCGGCCGCAGGGCCCGAGCCGCCCTCTGCACCCGCGCAGCACCGTGCGCGCGTACCTTGCTCCCGTGCCCGGCCCACCTCCTGCTGGATCAGCTGGGCACTCAGCTGCAGCTCGGCGTCCAGGCGGTTCCGCTCTTCCCGCAGCTGCTCCAACTCAAGGCTCAGGTCTGCACCGAGTGGGGGTGCAGGTGGGTCTGAGGGACAGCTGGGACGGAAATGATAAAGAGCCGGAGAACATTCCCCCATCAGCTACCTGACTGGTGCCTCCATCCCGCCTTGTCCCTCTGGGTCCCGGCAGCCGATAGGGACCCCGACATCCACACCCTCCACCTCAATGTGCCAGAACTTCACCTCTCCAGGCGCAGCTGAGAAACAGTCAGTTTTCGAGCCATCAAACCTGAGACAGAAAATCGCAGGGCAGGGAGATGGGTGTGCAGAAGGGTGGAGGGGCACAGGGCAGAAGGGTGGAGGGGCTCAGGGCAGAGGGATGGTTACTAAGGCAACAGAGGATGAATGTGGGAGGGAGGGAGACAGGCTGGAACCCCAGTTGCCGCACATACCCTTAATGGTGTGGACCTTGCGGACGGCATAGCTGAGCCGGTTGTTAAGGCTGGGAATCCGGGCTACAGCCTGGTCCAGCCTGGTCATGGAGCTATGGAGCTTGGCCTGCGTGCTGAGAAAGGCACAGGCCACTGCCCGCCCGCCCTCCCTCAGCTCTTAGAGCCGTGCAGGGTCCCGCAGAGGACACAACTTCCCATCCTGTGAGACGAGTGTGGGAGGAACAGGGCTCTAGCAAACCCCACAGGCCATAGCCGGTCACAGCCGGTGGCTCAAGCTCCTCAGCAGACCTAGTGAACCTCAGTGCTTAAGCTTTGGTAACAGCTGAAAACAAACTCCTGGTTCCTTTCAGTCCTCCGACAGGGCGGCTCTGAACACACCGTCACGCTCGGCTGGAGTGACTGGAACACCTGCCCTGCAGCGACCATCAAGAGTCCCGGCCGCATCCCCCAGGACCGGCAGCCCGGGAAGGTGCTCAAAGCCTGGAAGTCACTGCACAGAGCCTGTGCTCGCTACACCCTCAGGCCTTCTGGACGGGGAGGAGCACGTGGACCTTGAACCCGGGCAGTGCTCCTTCCACACTAGCCTGATTCCCTGCAAGGTCAAACATTCATTTTCCCTGGGTGCCAGGGCCTGAGAGCAGAGATCTGGAATGCTAAGCAGGTGCCTGGTCACTGACCACACACCAGTCCACGTACAGTTAAACCTTTCCTCCATAAGCAGGCGTGTGTACAGGAAGCAAGGAAGGAGGAAGGGAGGGAGGAGGGACGGGGTCCTGAAGCCGCAGCCTGCCTCACTGCCCTGCTCAGCTTCAAAGGCTGCAACTAGGCTGCGGCTCCCGGCTGGGCTGGTGCCATGGAGGCGCTGCCCCTGCCCCTCCAGCCCCTCCCTGCTCCCTCCAGTCCCTCCAGCCCCTCCCTTCTGCTCCCCTGCCCCTCTAGCCCCTCCCTGCCCTGCGGGCTGCCTTACCTGCTCAGGGAACTGACCAAGGTCCTGAGCAGCTCCTCAGCACAGGCTGCCTTCTGCTCCTGCCTCCGCCTGGCCTCCTGCGCCCGATTCAGCTCCACCTGCAGGGTCTGGTAAGGGTGCACGTGTGTGCGCGCGAGTGTGTGTGCACGCGTGTTCCCCTTCAAGCCTCCCTCTCAGGCGTCTGGCCCACAGACCCTGACCAGGGACTGCTTCATCCCGCGGTCTCCCGGCTCGGACCTTGGCGCTCATCCGCTCCACCTCCACTTCCGCAGCTCTGTCCTGCAGGGCGCGCTGCAGGATGGCCTGCTCCTGGGTCTGGGCTGTCAGCTGTTCCTGGAGCTCCGCGATCTACAGGAGCAGAAGGGGCTGAGCTGGCCAGTCCAGAGCCAAGGCCGTGGGAAGCGTGGGGTGCAGGACACAGGGCAGGAGTCTCCAAAGTGGGGCTAGAGAGTGGCTCAGGGCTAAAAGCACTGGCTGTTTTTACAGAGGACCTGAGTTCCATCCCTTCACCCACACGACGGCTCACAACCACCTGTAACTCTAATTCTAGGGGAGCCAACTCCCTCTGACTTCCATGGTCACATGGTACTCAGACATACATGCAGGCAAAATATCCACACACATGAGATAAAATAAAATACATCTTTTTTTTTTCTCCCCTCTAAGACAGGGTCTTACTATGTAGCCTTGGCTGTCTCCCCAGCACTCGGGAGTCAGAGGCAGGTGGATCTCTGTGAGTTTGAGGCCAGCCTGGAATACAGAGTGAATTCCAGGACAGCCAGGGCTACACAGAGAAACGCTGACTTGAACCTTTCTGACTCGCCCCACACGCCAGCACTGTGACTGTGGCTGAGGCCCCGTGCCCTGACCTGGTCCTTCAGGCACTTCGTGGCGTCCCTGTGCTGCAGGTCCTGGGCCTTCAGCTGCACCATCAGGACAAACACCTTCTCCCGCCAGCTGCGAAGCAGCATCCGGCACTTCCTGGGGAGCTGGGGCTCCAGGGCCTCGGAGGGCTGAATCTGCGTGGGGCAGGGCACAGTGAGGACTTCGGGGGGAGAGAGGGGGTGTGGGTCTCCCCAGGGAGGGGCCTACCTTCCTGGTCAGCTCCTCTTCCTGCAGGGAAAGCATGTGCGTGAGGCTCTGCACACGGATCTGCAGCAGCTCTATGGTGGCCTGGAGGTCGGTACGGTCCTCCTTCATGTGCTGGGTGGGTGGAGCACGCCTCACATAGGGCCTCCCTTCCGGGGGGTTGTGCCCCCTCCTCCAGGCCACCCGGTCCGTCCCTCCTCCCACCTGCACGGCGTCCAGCAGCTCCTTCCGCTCCTGCTCCCAGGCCCGGCTGTGCACCTCGGGAGGGGCCTGCTCCCCCACGTACTTCCTGAGACTGGCCACCAGGGTCACCTGGGCCTCCAGCTCCTCTTGGGTCTTACTGAGGTTGAGGCAGAAGCGGGGCGGCCCTCAGGGCGGGGCAGCACGGAGACACCCCGACCAACCGACCATGCCACCCGCTGCTCCCTGGCCACCTCAGCTGGCTCCTGAGCTGCTCCACCTCCTTCTGGGCCATGGCCAGCTGCTTCACCTCCTCCGCCCGCTTCATTTCCAGGCTGTTCAGAGACTCCTCCAAGACCTCGGCCCTGCTGGTCAAGCTGGCAAGAGCCTTCTGGTGAGCCTGCGTCAGGGAGGTCAGCTGTGGAGGAAGGGAGCACTCAGGGATGGGTGGCCAGCAGGGCTCGGAGGAGCTCAGAGGGCAGCAGTACTCCCTGCTCCTCCAGGGGACTCAGCGCCCAGCACCCACGGCAGGCATTCGGGGGATCCAGTATGCCCCGACACACTCACCAACAGAACACATACTCATAAATGAACAACTTATACATAAATCTTTAGGGCTAGAGAGATGGCTCAGAGGTTAAGAGCGCTGGCTGTTCTTCCTGAGGTCCTGAGTTCAATTCCCAGCAACCACATGGTGGCTCACAGCCATTTATAATGAGATATGGTGCCCTCTTCTGGCGTGCAGGTGTACATGCAGGCAGGACACTATACATAATAAATAAATCTTTAAATTTACTTATTTAATAAACAAAACAAAGCTCACCCCATCTTGGGGCCTTGTCTCCCAGGGACCCCTGCTCTAAGCAGAGGGAGAAATCTTGGCACATTGTTCACCCCAGTTAGTTTCCAACAACGTCAGCTCCTGCCAGCTCCCCTCCCCGTCTCTCTGTGCCCACTGCCGATCACCTCGTGCCTGGTGTTTGTAAACTGGGGAGACAGCTCGTCGGGAAAGCGTTTACCTCACAAGTGTGAAGACCTGAGTTAGGATCCCCAAGCCCTATGGCAGGCCGGTGCACACTGCAATTACCTCCACTCTGTGGAGGGGAGGGGACACAGGACACAGGTCCTCGAAGCCCCCAGGCTAGCTACTCTGGCCTACGTGCTAAAAGTACAGGCCAGCAAGAACCCTGTCTCAATGGGCAGTGGAGGTGCACATTTAAACCCAGCACTCACAGAGGCCCATCTCCGTGAGCTCAAGGCCGGCCAGGTTTACCGAGTTCCGGGACAGCCAAGGAAAAAAAATATTCAAACAAAAGAACTTGAGAACCCACATCCGAGGCTGTCCTCTGACCTTCACACGTGTGCCAGGCACACTCACACCCCCACCCACATGTGCCCACATCTGAGTGTGCATATACCCTTCAGGGTGCTGGGCATGGTGGCAGCGAGAGTCTATACTCTTGTGTGCTGGCTACTTTCTGGTCAACTCGACACATGCTAGTTGTTTGGGTAGGGAAACTCGATTGAGCAAACGCGTCCTTAGGACCCACTCTTGATTAGTGACTGATGTGCAGGGGCCCAGTGTGCCTCGGGTGGGGTGGCTCTGCCCCCAGGGAGCTGGACCTGAGTTGTACTGAGAAGCAGGCTGGGCAAGCCCCGAGGAGTAAGCAACCCCCTCCACAGCCTCTGCTTTGGTTCCCGCCCTGCCTCTTCTCCGTGGACCGGGAGTCACAAACCCTTCCCTTCCCAAGTTGCTTTTTGTCAGTGCTTTACCACGGTAATAGACAGCCCAGACACCCCAGTACTTGGGAGGCTGAGTCAGGGACTGCCTCAAGCTCAAAGCAGCCAGGGCTACGCATCAAGACCCTGCCTTCACACTCCCCACCAAAGATTTGCCTTACCACAAGGCCTGCCTTCCTCAAGCTCCCTCCTGTGGCTCCTGCCTCTCCCCTGCTCCTCTTGCATGGGCAGCCTTCCTGAGCCGGCCTGAGCCTCCCTGAGCCAGCCTGAGCCCACTTGAGCAGCGTGTGCGCATGGGGATGTTCTAGGGAGGGGTGGCCTCTCTCACCGGACCCCTCAAGTTCCACAGGATGGAGGGGATGGGGAGGAACTGGGTGGAGAGGGAGAGCAGAGCCTCCACTACCACTGTCAGGTTTGTGAACTGAGAAACACAAAGCCTCTTTAGACGGAAAACACAAACCCGGCAGCGTTACTTCCCGGCTTCTTTTCTGAGGCTCGAGGTGGTGGCGCACACCTTTAGTCCCAGTGCTTGGGAGGCAGAAGCAAGAGGATCTCTGTGAGTTCGAGACCAGCCAGAGCTACACAGCCAGACCCTGTCTCAACAACAAACCAAAACCCCTCCTTTTCCGCTGACACTGGGGCTGACCCGATGGCCTTGCACACACTGGACAGGCCCTCTACCACTGAGCTAGCTACCTCCTCGGCTAGAACTGCTCAATCGTACTCCTCTCTTTGATGTCAGCGGTTCATCCCGCTCACAGTGACCGTCCACAGTGGCTTTGTGAACGTGGCACCAATTACACAGGTTCTCAAATACCAAAGCGGGCGTGTCGCCCGGTGAAGCAGCCAATTCAGAGGGCCTTCTTAGTGGCTCAGCAAGGCTGTCCCTGCTCCTGTTACAGAGGACGAGCCTCCCTTCCCGACCCCTCCATCACCTGGGCGGCCCTCAGCGGTGGTCCTGACCCTGGCAGTGCTCTCCCAGCGGCAACAGAGAGCGGCCCAAGCTAGGCAGTCAGCTCCACCCCGTAAGCACAGGCTAAGCAGCTCGGATGCTGAATCCCCAGCCGGCTCCTCCCTCGAGGACGGCACAGAGAAGCAGTGGGCATCCTGCCTGAAAAATCTACCTTTCCGGCCTTCCCCAGGACCCCCACGTTTCCAGAGGAGTACTTGACACAGGGTAGAAGTTGTCCTTCGGAGAGTTTCAAACGGCACAAGCTCGCCCGACTCCCCAAGAAACAGCTGCAGCCCAAGGAAAACCCAAATGGTCTCTTTCCTAGACCAGCTGCTGGGCAGCTTGGCAGGGTCCCTGAGGTCCGCCCTGAACCGCCCCAGGCCCTCGGCCCACGCACCTGCTCCTGGTGGACGCTGTGCATCTCCTCCAGCTCCCTCTGCTTCCCCTCCTCCAGGTTCTTCCGAACCATTTCGGCTCCCGCCAAGGCGGCACGCAGGCCCTCAGCCTCCGCTTGGCCAGCCTTCTCCGCCACCGCCAGGGCATCCAGCTCCATGGCCTGCGCCTCCAACCTTATCTTCTGCTTCATGGAGGTCTCACGGTAGGCTTGGACCTCCTCCTCCAGCCGCCGCAGCTCTTTGAGGTGACGGGAGATCAGCTCGGACTGCTGGGTCAGGGTGTTGGAGACCTCCAGCTCCTGGGACCTTCAGAGAACGGTGGGCACAGGTGAGCGGCTAGAGGGTGCCGGCAGCAGAGAGGGCACTGACCCTCCACTTTATGTGGGAAGCAGAGGCTGAAGCTGAGGCAGGAGGATAGAGGCATTCAGGCCACCACCATCTCCCAGAGGTCAGCTTCCTGGCCTCAGAGACCTAAGGGGTAGGGAGGCCCCGCCGAGAAACGGATCTCTCCAGAGGTCCACGTTTAAGCAGACTGAAGAAAAACCCCAAAGGTGGGCGGCCGGGGGCCACACATTTTGAGTGCAAGACCCATTACAGCGTGCAGTCTGGACTCCAGCCACAGTCCAGGGGCAGGGAGACAGCACGGGCGTGGGAACTGGGCTTCGGAACCAGCGTGGTGGTGGACCGGGTGACTTAATAGACTTTTTTGTTGTTTTATTTGAGACAGGGTCCCGCGTAGCCCAGGCCGACCTTGAACGTAGTATGTAGCAGAGGCCCTGAACTTGGGTCCCTCCTGCCTCCACTGTTGCATGGTGTGCATGTGTGTGCACACCCCCACACACACCACAAAAATGTAAACGTTAACAACAACAACAAAAAGTACAACTAAAGCCACTCCTGCTTTGTTGGTCTCGGCAGCGCCGTCCCGACCTGGGCTCGCTGCCCCTGCTCCAGGGACGCACCCCGACACCTGCTCGGGTGCGCGGGCTAGCGGCGAGTGTTCGATACAGTGTGCAGGGAGGCTGGCGGTGCTCCATCTCCAGAGGACTCACTGTCACACACAGTTAAGCTAGCTGTGAGGACGCTGGCTCCTGAGCCGGCGCCACGCACCGTTCCTCGGAGCCTGTCTCCTAACATCCCTTCATCATCAAGGCAGAACCCACTCACACACAGACACGCATCCACGGGGCTGGAGGGCGGCTCTGTGGTTAAGAGTGTTTGCTGCTCTCACAGCTCCACATTCGGCAGCTCACGGCTGCCTGTGACCCCAGCTCCACAGTTCCGGCCTCCAACTGTGAATGCTGTTTTTGTTGTTGTTGTTTCGGGCTTTTTCAGACAGGTTTTCCCTATGTAGCCCTGGCTGTCCTGGAACTCAATCTGTAGACCAGAGGCCTTGAGCTCAGAGATCTGCCTGCCTCTCTAGTGCTGAAAGTAAAGGTGGACCGTTTGTTTCCTGCTCAAAAATAAAACCTTAAAACACACATTCACAGAGCATAGCCAGCTCCTGTGCCCTAGTCCCATAAAGGCCCCTTTAACTACCCTGGAGGAGAGAACGAGCATGCCACCGTACTGGATCACTGTGTCTTAAGCTTCACGGCACCCTAAAGCACTCAACAGCTCCTGGGTAACCCATCTCCTCTCCTAAGACATTCACATTCCTTATTAGCTGAGAATTTAAGTCCAGATTATTTCTTTTTGTTACTCCCCATCACACGGCACATGCAGTGTAGGCACCAACAATTACTACAGAAAACCACACAGGTTAGGGGGCTGGGGCTGAGAGAGAGGGATGCATGCACAAGGCCTCATTAGCCCGAGTGAGGAAAGGGTGACAACAGAGTCCCTACCTGCCTCTCCGCCATGGCCCCTGCCCATCTCCACAGAGGTTGTGTTCCCACACTGTAGGCCTCTCAGCATCTAGCCATCTCTCTGGGACATCTTGGCTGGCCGTGGATTGGACCAGGGGAACGTCTGAAGCCCAGGTCTGGGTCTGGGTCTGGGTCGTTCTTGACAGGGTGGAGAAGGGCCGAGCTTGGAAGTGGGAGGGAGGAACCAACCCAGCAAAACCTGAAGGATGGAAGGAAGGGAGGAAGGGAGGGAGGGAGGGAGGGAGAGAGGAAGGAAGGAAGGAAGGAAGGAAGGAAGGAAGGGTCACAAAAGTAAAGCCAGTTGGGGAGACAGAGATCCCCAGCCTCTTTGATTAGCCTGACTGACCTGAAGGCGGTAACATCTCCTCCGTATCAGAAGTCTCTAGATCTTGTCTCCAACCATCTATGTTCCCTGGACAAAAGGAGAGACAAGGACACTCCAGTTCAGCTTTCAGGCCACCTTCCAAAGAGAAAGCCTACAACAGCAAAGCCATAACATAACCCTCGTTACTGCCAGATGCACCCCGCTCCGAGCTGCTCTCTTCCTACTTCCCTAAGAAGAACCAAACCACTCGCTTGTCCCAAACATGCTCCTGATAGAACGAACCAGGCAACGATCATAAGGTAAATTTACTGAGACGGGAGGACAGGGGTGCCCCTGAGGCTTGCTTCTACTTACAGGATTCTGGGTGGTGCCTTTACCTTCCTCCGTAAGCAAGTGTCTGTACTCCCTGAAGCTCAGGGCTGAAGATGAGAGAGCCTGTTCAAAACGCAGGGAGCTCAGTCTCCACAGTTCTCGCCACGGCACGGTAGGGTCGCTGGGTAGCCCATCGAGGCACCACCGACCCATGGTTTCTGGGTCATTTCCTAACAGAGCGTCAGCCCATGCCTTGGCTCCAGAAGAATGACGCCACATGTGGGATTAAGCGGCTGCCCTAGGATCCCCGGGGAACCCGAGCAGCCTAGAGCCCGTTGCTGGGACGCCAGCTTCCCGCCATCTCATCTCAGCCTCTCTGGAACCAGCCTCAGTTTCTCTCTAGCCCCTCAACTTTCATTTCCGATGTCCTTCTCTCTTCGGAGTCCTATAGCATCTTCTCTCCCCCACTTCCATCAGAATTCAAACTTCTGTTTCACTCGGCCCGCAGACTCCTACCCGCTTCCCTTCCTAGCGCTAGTCTGCATTTTTCTTGACGGAATTATCCCGGGCGCTCCCTGTCCTGCTGCCGCCCGTCTGCTCTCCCGCACACAGCCCTGGCTCATCCCCCGCCCCGCAGGACCCCCGCTCTAAGGCTGTCTTGATGCTCTCATCTGTTCTTTGGCCGGACTCCTGCACCCCTCTTCCCCGGTGGACCCCCTCCGCCCACCCTAGCACCCCCTCTCAGACCCTCCCGCCCCCAACCGACTCTTCCCGAACGCCCCTTACCCAGCGCGAGATCCGCCGTCTTGCCACGCCCCTTGCACCTAGCTCCGGGTCCGGGCTGGACACTCTTGATCACGCATGCGCGAGGCGGGCGGGCTGGCGGGCTGCTCCAAAAGCACCACTTCTCCCTACCGGAAAGAGGAAGGAGAAAGGTGCACACACGAACACAGACGCCCGAGGCCTGCTCCGCGCCCTGGCCGCCCCTCCCCACCCCGGGAACCCGGGAAAACGTGCAGACCAATCAGGAATGGCGGAGGGCGGGACAGGGGCGGTGCCTTCCTGAGCATCGTCCAATAGGGAGGAGGAGCGCGAGCCGGCCGGCCAATCAAGACCATCCGGAGGCGGGCGCGGGCCCGCGGGCGCGAAGTCGGACCCGGGAATTGGGGAGGAGGAGTCTGCGCGGCGCGCGCGCCCAGGCCGCGCCCTCCGGGCGCCTTCCCGGCTGTCAAAACCGCGGCGGGAGCGAGGCGCGGGATGCGGAGCCCCTTCCTCAGCTTACCCCGCAAGCGAGAGAGGAAAGGGTGAGGTCCGCTTTCGTTACAGGAGTTAGGGCCGGTCTGCGCCGCCCTGTGTGGGGACAGTGGCCGGCCGAGCGGGGGAGGAGAGGACTAGCAAGCTGGACCACCAGCGCCCTGGCCCCGGGTTACACTTGGGCGGGCGGGCTCGTGCCGCACGCGCGTTTGTGTAGCAGGACCGCTCCACCCCGTCTGCGCGGAGACCCCAGCGGCCGTTTAAAGTGGCTTTGCCTTGCACAGATTGTTAAGGGATTCCGGGGTTCAGCGGCCCGAGGATCCGGCTTCCCAGGGGTGCCGCCGGGCTCCTGCTCGGGGTTTTGCGGCGCAGCAGGACTCTCCTGGAGGTGCTTTTCTTTAAGTCTCGTCTTGACAGCCACCACCGCGTCGCCCGTCCAGGCCTCTGGCGCCCTGCGTCTGCACTTCCCGAGCTGGCACTAACTAGACAGCTGCTGACGTCCGATAGAACTGGTCGGAAGCCCGCGGGGTGCGGGACCCGGCAGCAGGAGGGGTGATGAGCCGCTGAGGCGGGAGACGAGGTGCAGAGGCGCACCCCCCCCATGCTGCCCTGCTTCCAGCTGCTGCGCATCGGGGCCGGCCGGGGAGGTGACCTCTACACCTTCCACCCCCCGGCCAGGTCCGGCTGCACCTATCGGCTGGGCTGCAGGGCTGACCTGTGCGATGTGGCCCTGCGGCCGCAGCGGGAGCCCGGCCTCATCTCTGGGGTCCATGCGGAGCTGCATGCTGAGCTGCAAGGGGACGACTGGAGGGTCAGCCTGGAGGACCACAGCAGCCAAGGTAGGCTCCTGCCACCGCCTCCCGGAGGCCGTGTCTGCCGTCAGAACTGTGCACTGCTCGTCGGGCTAACCTGTTCGTCTGGTTTAGCGCACACAGGGCCCGGGAGGGAGGCGCTGGGTGTCATCAGCAAAGTGTCACAGTGGGGCTCTCTAGTACTCAGCGCACACTTGACTCGGTTTCCAGGCTCCCGTGAAGGCAGTGATGAGCCGTCTGGTGGCCTAGGCATCCCGCCCCAACCCAAGGCAGCCTCAGAAGGCTGGAGTTCACAGTTCAGCCCTCCGACTTCAGTTCTTAGCTTCCTGTCAGGTCAGACAAGGTCTGGAGCATCCCAACCTGAGGTGTTGTGGGCAGCAGTCCAGCAACAGCCAGCAATGCTATGGTGTAGGCCAAAGGCCCTGCACTGTGACGTGCAGATGGAGCTGACACCGTTTACAGGAAAGAAAGTAAGATACAAAGCGGGTAAGAGTGACAGCAGAGGCCAGGCGTGGTGGTGCCCGCCTCAATCCTAGAACTTGGGAGGCAGAGGCTGGTGGATGTCTGAGTTCGAGGCCAGCCTGGTCTACAAAGTGAGTCTAGGACAGCCAGGGCTACACAGAGAAACCCTGTCTCCAAAAAGACAAATAGGAGTGGCAGCAGGAGGTGAGTATGGGGGAGGGGGTTACCCTGTGATCTTAGCTCCTCAGAGCTGAGGCAGGAGGATCGAGTTCTGGGCCCACATCTCAGAATGAGACAAAGCTGCTTAGGGCTGTGTGAGGCAGGAGCTAAGCACAGCAAGGCAGCTTCCCGTTTGTAGGCAAGAAGAATAAGCCTGTCCCCAGCCGACACAGCTGTTGTGCAGGGTTTGAGTTTAATGGCCAGGTCCTGGCACTTCTGACTAGACATGTTTCTATCCCTGTCATTTCTCTTGTGCCTCACCACCAACAGGGACTTTGGTCAATAATGTCCGACTCCCAAGAGGCCACAGGCTGGAGCTGAGTGATGGTGACCTTCTGACCTTTGGCCCTGAAGGGCAAGCAGGAGCCAGCTCCTCAGAATTCTACTTCATGTTCCAGCAAGTCCGGGTCAGACCTCAGGACTTCGCTGCCATTACTGTCCCTCGGTCGAAGGGAGAGGCTGTGACTGGTTTCCAGCCCATGCTGCCCCCCCAGGGGGCACCCCAGCGGCCGCTCAGCACCCTCTCCTCTGCCCCCAAGGCCACACTGATCCTCAACTCCATCGGCAGCCTCAGCAAGCTGCAGCCCCAGCCCCTCACCTTCTCCCGTGGTGGTGGTGGTGGTGGTGGTGGTGGTGGTGGCAGTGGCAGGCCACAGAGCCTGGCTGTTCCCACCCGGCCTGGGGAAGTGGGACCCCCGCCTGCCCCACCCACGAGAAACCGGAGGAAATCAGCTCATAGAGTACTGGCGGAGCTGGATGACGAGAGCGAGGCCTCCCTGGGCCTGTCCGTCCTTATGGAGCCCAGGAAGAAGCTCCGCGTGGAGAAGGCCGCTGTGACGTCCAGTGGGTGAGTGGGGTCCCCGTGTTTGTTACAGCCTCAGACTGCGAAGCCTCGAAAGGCAGGGGTGAGGCCGTGCAGACCCCTGGGTTAGCTTTCGCCACGGGAGGGGCTAGTTATGTGTGAGGCTGGGGGATGTCTCACTGGGAGGGCACTGTCCAGCCCGCACCTGCCTTGTCCAGGGTTGGAGTCCCAGGGGCACACACTTGGTAGTCGAGGCAGACAGGATTTGCCCAACCTGGCCCTACTGAGACCCTGTCTTGAAGCAAAAACTGGAGTCAGCCGGTCAACTCGGGATGCTTTGTTATTTTACGCGCTTGGGTGGTTTGCCTGCATTGCAATGTGCTGTGCGTGCAGTACCCGCAGAGGCCAGGAGGTGGCGCTGGATCCTCTGGAGATGGCTACTAGCCGTGAAGTAGGCGCTAGGACTCAAACCCATCTGGAGGAGCAGCTCGGGACAAGGTCTCACTGTGTGGCCCAGGCTAGCTTCAAATTCCCCGGGTGAATATATAGTGGTCGGGAAAGGGAAGCTGAGGGGACGCAGTAACTCCTCCTCCTGGGGTTACAGGTCTAGCTAGGCGGATCGGTTACCCAGAGGCAAGTTATTCACACTGGGTTCGAGTTCATAGCATCCAAGAGGTCAGAGGTCACGCATTCAGCTCCTCCAGTACACGGTCAGACTCAACCACGGATCCAACAGCCTCTCCTGTGGCCACTGTGTACAGGCAACACTCAAACACTCATCCCAAAAGTTAAAAACAGATCTTGAGAAAAGTCTTTCTCCAAAGGGAATGACCACAGGCCCGGAGAACCCTCATGGCTGAGCTGACAAAGAGATGGCTTCTTCCTGTCCAAGACATTACTGCCAGGTGTAACAGCTGGACTGTCCAGCCATAAGGAACCAGCCCTGTTCCCACACACCCCCTATCCGCAGTTAGAGTGCTCATCAGTCACAGAACCCATCCCCACAAGACCGAAGGGGATGGCTGAAGTCTTCTTAGTCTGCTGAGGCCAGCATGCTGGCAAGGGCTGTCACTTGAATGCCATCAGCTAAGGCAGCCTGGAGGACTGACTGAGGCCATGCCTAGCACTGCCACCAACTGAGTGTATGACTAGCGTTTCAGAGCTCTGCCTTCCTTTCCAAATAAAGACTAAACTGCTTCTTCTACATGGGGTGTTTATTCTTGAGTCCAAGTCTGCTCTTCAAATGATGGGATTGAATTCTCCACAGAATTCAGTGTCAAGAAAGCCCAGGCCTGGGCAAGGTGACACAAGTGAAGGCACGTGCCCAGCCTGTGGCCTGTGTCTGTGCGCAGGAGCCACAGAGTGTGGGGTTCTGGGGGGCTGGCAGGCAGCAGCAATGCTTCAAAAGACTGGGCTCTTGGGTGGGAGCCACTGCTCAGCTGTTAGCAGTGGCTAGCCAGGCCATGGTGGCACATGACTGCTCACAACCTGTAACTCCAGTTCCAGAGGATCCAAAGCCCTCTTCTGTCAGGTGCACACAGGACACCCATCATAGGGAGCAAGAGTGATGGGTGCCGGGAGCAGCCATCCCAGCACCCGGGGAGGCAGAGGCAGGCAGATCTCTGTGAGTTCGAGGCCAGCCTGGTCTACAGCCAGGACAGCCAAGGCTACACAGAGAAACCCTGTTTCAGAAAGAGAAAAAGTCAACGTTGCCTGGAGTGATGGCACACACCTTTGATCTGAGCACTCCGGAGGCAGAGGCAGGTGATCGGAGGCCAGTCTGTTCTGAGATCCAAGACAGCCAAGGCTACAGGTTCTACAAACTTCCTGAGTGACACAGGAACAGCAGACCAGCTGCTGACGGGACAGGACTTCTACCCACTAGCTGAGATTTGATCAACTTGAAGCAAGCGTGATGGTGCCTTCCTCTGCAGGTCATTCTCAACTTTTCCTCTGTAACACCCCCCCCCCCGTGTCCGTGGAACCGCTTTTGTGGACTCCCTGGGTGTGGGAACCCCTCATTGGCTTTCTCTATCCCCCGTCTAACAGAAAACAGAATTTAGCCATCTAGCGTCTCAAGCTTTCTTATTTAGGGGCTGGGTTGGTTAAGAGCACTGGCCACTTGCTCTCCCAAAGGACTTGGGTTCAGTTCCCAGAGCCCACGCGGCAGCTTTAGTTCCTCACAAGCATACAACACTGATGCCCATTAAAAAAAAATTTAAATTTATTTTTATTTAAGAACGAAATGATGAGTGATCGCCATCAACAGCGTCACTGAAGGCCACCTCCCCACCCCCCTTTTTGTGATTTCAATCCCTCGGTAAACGAGCTTACTCGCAAAGCTGTGGTGGTTTCCAGGTTCCGTCTACCTGCCCCTCCCCTGGCCTACCAGGCTCACGCCATCCACACGCAGGGATGGCGCCTCAGCTTGAATGCATGGGAGAGCCCAGAGCAGTGACAGGAATATTGGGAAAGGCTTCGCCCTCAGGAAACGGGACGGAAGAGTAGAGCGTGGTGAAATGGGGGCTCCCATAGCCTGGGGCGCCAAAATGGGGCCCTGGGGGCAGAGGAAAGGATACAGGCCCTCCCGGAAAAGGAGACCCCGCCGCCTCATACTCTTCCCGTTGGGAATAGTCAATGCTCGATCGTTTGCCCTTCTGGCGCCGGTTGCAGAACCACACGCGCACCACCTAGGACGGAGGGCACAGACTGAGATGAGACCATAAGCTCAGGGACGGACGCGGAAGGCAGAGGTGGGGGAACGGGCACTGCGGGGCGGGGTCAGAGGTGAGGGAACTCACGTCCTTCTCCAGCCCCAGCTGCTTGGCGATGATGCTAATCTGCTGCAGGGTGGGCTTCGGGCACTGCAGAAACATGCTCTCCAGGTTTCCCCTCACGCGGTTCTCAATGCTCGTCCGCTTCCTCTTGCGGGCCTGCACCAGGGTCTCCGCTTTGCAAAGCTGGGCAGGGAAGATGGGCTGACGGGTTTGGCTAGGCATCTGTCCCACCCGGGAGCACCAAGCCAGGAATGGGAGCAGCAGGCGCCCCGAGGCCGGCAGTTACCGTCCATCCCCCGGGACCCCTCACCTCCTGAAGGTTCTCATTGCTGTCGGCTTCCTCCACCCACTTCTCCAGCATGGGCCGTAGCTTACACATGTTCTTGAAGCTGAGCTGCAGGGCCTCAAAGCGGCAGATGGTGGTCTGGCTGAACACCTTTCCTGAGGGAGGCCGGTCAAGGAGGGAAGTGAGGCGGCATGCAGGGGCCCCCGACCCCTCCCTCACAGCTCCCACCCCTCACGGTCCAGGCCGCAGGCTCCAGGCTCCTCCTCTCCCTCTCCACGGCAGCCCATAAAGCACGCTCCCCTGACACCTGTGCGGGGGGCTGTGCCAGCTGTGGGGTTAAGAACATGGAGACCCACCAAAGAGAAAGCCCAGGGTGAGCCCCACGTCGGCCTGGGTGTACCCCAGGGTGATTCTCTTCTGCTTCAGCAGCTTGGCGAACTCTTCTAGTTCCTTCTGCAGGGCTTTCATGTCCTGGGACTGTGGCGAGAAAGGCGGAATCTGAGTCCTACATGGGGGCCCCCACCCCTGCTCTGTGAAAGACCTCGGCGCCCCCAGGCTGCCCACTAAAAATGCTTATATAAATGTCATTCACTCTATCCCCAGTGACGGGGAAAGCTGGCCACACAACACTACCCAGAGTTCCATGCATCCCAGCAAGTTCCCACCTGCTAACCAATTACTGCGTAACAGGCCCACTGACAGGCTATTACCTCACTTTGAGGAAGTTAGGACTATGGAAATCACCAGGCAGGGCAGAGCAGGCATGGAATCCCTGCACTCAAAAAACAGAGGCAGGGGAATAGAGTCCCTAGCTCTATTAATACAGGGGAACTAAAGGAATAAAGAGCATCAGGTCCACTGGACTCTTGCCCTCCCCCAGCTTGCTTTGAAGGTCCCAAAGTAGGACACAGCACAAGTGGAGATGTTGAAACAGGGACCACCTATCCCACCTGTCTCAAGCCCCGAAGGAGTAGGATCCACTCTGTTCGGCTCAAAGGAAAACCTAGAAACCACACAAAGCAAGCAAACGCCCCGACCCCAAAAGCTGACCTTCCAGTGTGTGCGGGGGAGGGGGGAAGGGGGGAACCCTGCTACTCTGCAGTGCAATGGAGAGCTCTAGGACGGCGGGAGGAGGCGGGGAGGAGAGGCCGGGGAGCTGATAATTTTAATGAGCTATAGAGCCAGAAGCAGCCTAGGAAGCTCTGCTCTCCACCAAACAAAAGTTGCCTGGCTCTCACGTTTTTAAACATGGGCTTGGGGCTGGAGAGAGGGCTCAGCGGTTAAGAGCACCGATTCCTGGTCCAGAGAAACCGGGTTCAATTCCCAGCGTTCACACGGCGGCTCACAACTGTCTGTAATCCTAGAACTGACATCCCCACACAGACCTACACGCAGGCTAAACACCAATACGCATAAAATAAAAATAAATTGAAAACAAAAAAACTTGGGCACAGTGGCGCACGCCTGTGATCCCAGCACTCTGGGAGAAAGAGGTATCCGGATGTCTGTGAGTTCCAGGCCAGCCTGGTCTACAAAGCGAGTCCAGGAGAGTCAGGACTGCACAGAGAAACCCTGTCTCGAAAAACAAAAACAAAACAGGACAAAAAGGCGCGGATTTGGTGCTTGCAGGATAGCCTGACCCTGAGGGGGAAAGCGACCTCCAGCAGCTGCGGGGCACAGTGGCAAGCATGCACGCACAATTTTCTCAAAAAAAAGAAAGAAAAGATTAAAACAGCAATGCCAACTGCTGTGTTAGCAACAGAGCGGCAAGGGGAAGCAAGGGTGTGCGGCTGGGCCAGGCCGGATGAGTGTGCGGAGGGGCGGCTACTGAACGGGACGAACATGGCTGACGGCATCGCAGGCTGTCTCTAACAGAAACGCCAGCCCAGAGCCCCAGTGTTCCCACCTGCCGACAAATTGTTTTTTTAAAACCCCGTTGGCAAAATGTTACCTCAGGGAGGCAGAGGCAAGCCTGGTCTACAAAGCGAGGCCAGGACAGCCCAGGCTACACCGAAAAACCCTGTCCCCTGTCTCGAAAAACCAAACGGCAGTCTCAAGCCCTTCTGGAAGGTGTTCGGATGGAAAGGGCTTCTATGAGCTTCGATCAGACGGATTATCATCTCCAACAGAGGCCATCTCCTCGGAGGCCACAACTTGGAAGCGCCCTCAGCTGGGTCTCAGCCTTTTGTAAATCCTATTTTGGAGATTTGGGATAAGCTAATCCCGGTAGTTCAAGTGCCTTCCTTCATTAAAGCCATTTAAGCCATGAGATTAGCAACTAATGCCTTCCTGGGTACTCCTGGTGACTAAAGGATGGAGATAAACAGGCACCCAGAGGGGGCGCCCCCACCAACACACCAACTGCCAAGAGGTCGGGGCTACTGCCTGCCACCTGTACCCAGCGCCACCTTCTCTCCCCCGTGGCTGATTGCTCGCTCGCACTCGCTTCCCAGGGCTGGCTGGAGGCCGTCAGGCGCCCAGCAAGGCCTGGAGATAACTTGTCCTACACAGCTGTGTCAGCTCCTTGTCTGCAGCCCAAGGCAGTTAGGGCTGAACGGACGGAATCCGCACACCGGCACGGTCCAAGGGGGCGCCCGGCTGTGCACCCAGCCTGAGGACGGCTCCGGGGGCAGCAGAGGGCAGACAGGCGTAAAATGATCTCAGGTGAGCCCAGCTCCACACACAGCCCAAACAGGAGCTCCTATCAGCAGCCAGGCACACCCAAGCCTTTCACCAACGACGACTCCAGGACAGGCGGCGTTTTTTTCACCCTGCAGCCATGCTTAACCCCAAGGCCACGATCCTCAGTCTCACAGGGAGGGCAAACACGGTGGGGAAAAGGCTGAATTCCCGCCACAGTGCAGACAGTGATTTTTGCAGCAAGTGCGCGGACACAGGCCACAGAGCCACCTCCATGACCAGGGCCAGGCCGCACCAGTGCAGGCCACTGCCCGAGTCTTGCAATCCTGGCTTCTGGTTCAGACCTTGCCCTGCTCCCCAAGACTGCCTGCCCTCGGCGACCGCCTCCACACCTAGGATGGCTGTCCTGCAGCCGTGCCTCGACGGTCCCCGGCCGTCCCACTCACCTCCTCGGGACTCGGCTCCACCTTCTCCACCTTCACGGCCCCGGGGCGGACAGGGCAGGACCCAGGCGAGGCCCCCTCCGGGCTGCTCTCCGATCCCGCTCCGGCCGGGCCCTCAGGCTGCGAAGGCTCCACGCCAACTTGGGGCACTAGGCCCAGCCCCACCTGAGGGCCGCAGTACGCCATCGCTCCGCAGAACTCATATGGCGGGGGGCACGGCGAGATCCCCAGCACCTCGGAGCCTGGGGCAACGCCGGGCCCGACCCCGGGCACACCGGGAGGCCCTTGGAAGCTGAGCCAGGTTCGGGGGTCCACCCAGCCCGGCTCCAGCCCTCCCGACCCATCACCCCCACCTGGTGGGGGCGAGAAAGCAAAGTCTGGAGCCAGGGGTCCGGCCATGGGGAAGGCGGGCACCCCAAGCAGGGGCCCTGACGCAAGGAGGGCTCACCCAGGACTGCGTCCCCTCCTTCCCCAATCCCACCCTTAGCCTTGACCTCTGGCCCCGCCCCCGGGTGGGTGGAGGAGTAGTCAATGGGGGTGGGAGAAACTGAGGCGAAGGATGTTTGCCTGAGTCTGGAAGCGGAAGGTGGGGACGTCCTGACGGGGCAGCCCTTAGGACGGGACCCCAGGGGCCCTTCACGTTCGACCCCCAGCGTCTGCTCACCCCTCCCTCGAGCCCCCGAACACCTCCACATTCCGCAGGAGCCGGAAGCTTGGCTTCCCATCCCACCACAAAGCCCCTCGGCCCCGTCCCCTCTCTGCAGCCCTCCTGGCCAACCTCTCAGAGCCCACAACACTTTATAGAGTGTCCGTGTGCCGGTCTGCTGCCACCCCTCCGTTCTCTAACTTACAGGAGCACTGGCCAGCCGCTCACACAGCCGTCTGGAATGCTAGGTTCGGGATACTCGTGAAACCCTCTACTTCACCCCGTCTCCAGGCGAGTGGAAGGAGGCTGCAGCTCCATCCCAAACCCCTAAAGGTCCCAGGCTTCAGAGGCCCCTTCTCACAGCATACATTTTCCTGCCTGTGTCGCCTACGGGCAGATGTCAACCACATGGGGACGCCCCCCCCCCCCCCCCCCCCCCGCCCGGCCCCCCCCCCCCCCCCCCCCCCCCCGGCCGGGCGCCCCCCCCGGGGGCCCCCCCCCCCCCCCCCCATCGTAAGGCCTGGCTCAGGCCCGGTCCCTCCAGTCAGGACCTAGGCTTCCCATTTCCCAGTAGGCCCAGTCTCCTCCTCCCCCCAACCCCATCCCAGGCCTCCAGCCTAGTTCCTGGGTGGAGAAACCCAAAGGGTGGGAGCTGTGTAGACGGAAAAAAAAACTGACTTCAGGTTCAAAGAAGCCTGGGAAGGATTGGGGGAAGGGGGCAGGACAATGGCCTTGGCTGAGCAATCCTCATCCCCAGAGGGGGCGGCTGGAACCCTAAACAAGTGCTCAGGCCTTGAATGGCTCCCCTGGGGACAACTTCCTGCTCCCCAACCCCCCCAACCCAATCCTCTCACACAAGATTTCCCCCTCAGCTCTACAGAGAGCTCCCCCCACCTCCCCTCAAAGACTGAGCCTCAGACCCGGGTACCCGGCTCCCTTCCTCCAGGGACTCTGGCGTCCGGCCTGGTCACCCACCCCTCCCCCAGCCCCCAGGTCGAGGAGACCTTTGTTTGGGGGGGGTCGGCTGGCGAGAAGGTGCCAAGGAGATGGGATTAAGGAGGAGGGGTGCAGGAAGCCTTCCTTAAACTCTCCTAGAGGGATTTTCTGGGCCTGGTCGGAGCACCCTCCTGGGTCCTGTTGCTGGCCCGGTTGTTAGTTGTGTTTGCAAGAGAATAGCCCTCGGAGCGCCTGTCTGCTCCCACACCTAAGTGAAGGCCCCAGGCTGTACCACACAGCCCCCAAAAAGGTTTTAGGCTGGAGCGCCACACCGTGTAGACAGCCAGAGTTCTGAGCCTAGGCCTGACCTCTGCAGGCTGCTCAGGGCCCAGCCCGCCTGCTGGGGGCAGTGTCTGTGGATAGCCTTCGGGTTGTTGTTCAATGACCTTCATCCTCTGTTTATTTAGGAGATGGGGCCTTAACCTGTATACCAAGCTGCCCTTGACCTCGTGATAATTGTGCTTCAGCCTCTCCAAGGCAGGGATTACAGCATGAGCATCGACCTCGCTCTGTGAGACATTACATTCCGTGTGTGTGTGTGTGTGTGTGTGTGTGTGTGTGTGTGTGTGTCTGTGTGTGTGTGGGTGTGTGGGTGTAGGTTCCTCCTTCCACCACATAGGTCCAGGGGCTTGGAAGCAGGAGCCACCCTGAGTCTTCTGATTTCTGCTCTTCCCTTCCGAGCACCACGCCCTTCACTTCTTGCCCTTCCCCCCCCTCCCCTCGACATTAATTGTAGAACTTTCCACGGGTTCATTGGAAGACCTACAGCTGGAGAAGCTGGAGCTCCGCGCTCGCGGCCGCCTCAGGCTGCCCTACAGGCAGATTGAAGGAGGGAGGAAGAGGCTGGGCTCCCCACCCAATTCTCTGCCCCCAGGACAGGGCCATCACACACACCTTTCTCATGCACTTACCCGCTGTCTGCCCTGAAGACTCGGGCCCAGGGGGGGAGGGGAGGAGCAGGCTAGAAGCCCCACACCCAGCTTCTCCCGGCGGCCACCACAGTCCCTGCTGTTTTCCCAGCAGCCCATCCCCACTCAACACCAGCCTTGTTTCGTGGGTTCCAGTGCGCAGTTGCTCTGCGTGGTGACGCCCTGCCCTGGGCAAGCCGCACATTCTGAGTCCTTGGCCGCCTCGTGACTGGCCGCCTGAGCCAGGCTGACCCCAAGCAGGCCTGGAGTCTAGTGCAGACATCAACAGCAAGTTTGTCTGCAGTTAGCTGTGCTTGGTGACACACTCCTGTGATTCCAGCACTCTGGGAGGCTGAGGCAGGCAGGATCTCTGTGAGTTCCAGGCCAGCCTGGTCTACAAGTGTGTTCAGGACAGCCAGGGCTACACAGAGAGACCCTGTCTCAGGAAACAAACAGTTTGTTTGAAGTCCCAGTAAATCTTCTCAGAACTTGCCTGAGGCTGAACCGATCCCTGGCCTGGGCCAGTACTCTCAGACTGTTGCCCTGGGAACTGGAAAGCTGGTTGACTAAAGCTTCTTGCGTCTTGGACCCTAGGGAATCTTCACAATATCATTTGCTTGTTTGTTTTTTGAGACAAGGTCTCCCTACATAGACTTGGATGACTTGGAACTCAGTATGTAGACCAGGCTTGCCTTGAACTCACAGAGACCAACCTGCCTCTGCCTCCTGAGTGCTGGGATTAGCGACCTGCACCATTACTCCTGGTTTAAGAGTCACCATAAGGGCTGGAGAGTTGGCTCAGACATTAAATGCCCTGGTTGCTCTTCCAAAGTGCCTGAGTTCAATTCCCAACAACTACATGGTGGCTCACAACCATCTATAATGATACATGGTGCCCTCTTCTGGCGTGCAGGTGTACATGCAGGCAGAACACTGTATACATAATAAATTTTAAAAAAGAATTACCATATCTTAAATCCCCTATATTTGAGCTAAAATTCATTAAGGCTATATATACTCCCATTTACCTAAAAATGATGCCCCACACACAACAGGTGAAGGAGGTTAATTGCATGGAGATGGAGAAAGAGAGAAACATGGTGGGGGGAGGGGAAGCCGCCCAGACAGAAAGAGGGGAAAGAAAGCAAGAGAAAGAAGAACAAGAGAACAAAAGAGCAAGAGAGTAAGAGAGCAAGAGGCAGGGGGAGGGGCCGAGAGGTCTCCATACACCTGGCCCAGATGATGTCATAGGACACAGGCACTGACATAGGACATTGTCAGGTCCCTAAAGGTCCCTAAGGGAAGGCAGGTTGAATTGCCTGCACAACATAACACCCAGGGTTCTGGCTGGAGAACCAGGGCCACACTTCCTTCAAGGGTGACCCGTCGACGTGGCAAAAAGGTACAGGAAGCCAGATGTGCTACTCCACAGCCATCATCCTCACCCTGGAGAGTCAGAGGCAGCAAACCCAACAGTCCAAGGCCAGCGGCTGGAGAAACAGTCAGCATTTAAGAGTGTGCACTGTCCTTCCGGGGACCCTTTTAAAATGTGTTCCCAGCACCCACATAGTGGCTTATGACCTAAACTCCAGCGCTCAGGGACCCAAATCTCTGATCTCCATGGGCATCAGTGGTCATATGTACACACCCACATATGGACACACACATATACACATTTTTTTTTTCAAACAGAGTTTAAGACCAACCTTAACCACAAGAGCCTCCCGGCCAGCTAGGGCCCCAGAGACCTGGTCTAAAACAAAATGAATGGGCAGTTTGGTTATGGAGAGAACAGACACCCCTCACCGGGCTGGAGCTGCAGTTTGACTAAAAATCCCTAAATGGACTCATGGGGAGGAGAAGTGGACTAGAGCTGGGAAACCGCTTAGGTTGGCTTGTGGGTTCTGCCTCCTGATGGAGAAAAAGAAGAAAAGAAATGAAGGCGGCAGAGACGTGGGCCCAAGCAGGAAGAGCTGCCCTTGCTGCAGCAGCTGCCCTGTGGGATCCTTCACAAACCCTGATGGTCTGGACTGGAAAGGAGGAGGCTTTTCTGGCTAGGAGGTGAGCTGGGGAAGTGGGAAGCTGGGGAAGCCAGGGGTCTCCAGCCTGGCATGGTTTCCTCAGCTGACTGCATCTCCTTTCCTTGCCTTGGGTTTCCTGTCTAATCAAAGAGACTTTGGGGAGGCTCAGGAGAGGAAGGTGGAGACGCCCACAGAGTGGGGCCCCTTGCTGAGCCTAGCAACCTGCATTTGATCCCTGGGGCCCATTTGTCAGAGCAGAGAACTGGCTCCTTCCGTTATGTGGACCTCTGATCTCCACGGTCATGCTTTGGCACTCGGGTACACAAACACACACACACACACAAACACACACTGCAATAATAAATAAGGTGAATAAAAAATCTAGTTGCTGAAAGTGCAGGTCAGTAGCAGAGGAAAACACTTGCAAAAGTTCCCGAGTTCCTGAGTTCAACCCCTAGTGCTACAAGAAAAAGAAAAAAGAAAGAGAGAGAGAGAGAGAGAAGGAAGGGGTAAAGAAAGGCCCACTGGAAATGAAAGATTCTGTATTTATTTCCTTTTTGCTCTCAGCCAGGGTTACATGTAGCAGAGGCTGCTCTTGACCTCTGTGCAGCCAGGAAGGACCTTGACTGCCTGATCCTCCAGCCTTTCCAGTTGTACTGACCTGATAAAATGCCTTTTACACAGTAGCTGAGTCGTGAACCCCGCTATGTCCAAGGCTGTGTTTGACAACCCGGGGACCCAGGGGCGTCACTCACTGCAGATAACCAGCCACCTTGCTTGACCTGCTCTGCGGCTGGAGAGTCTCCCCAGGACCCTGACCCTCCAATC